GCCAAACCCTCTCCCTCCGAACAACCCGGGTCTTGCGACCATGCCCGAAGTGGTGCCCGAGGCCATCGCGACCCCGAAGATCGAACGAAGAGGACACCAATCGTCCCAGGCTGTAACCTGAGGGAGCCGAAGTGGGCACAAAAGTCGGTGACACATTCCTTTCCTCCATATCCTCTCTTCCAAGCCCTTCCGACCAGGCTCCAGAGCTTCAGCTAACCCGACAGCTTGCGTCTACCAGAACCCGTCAGAGGTGCCCCGACTACTCCCCGTCAAACTGCGGACAACCGCGACACGCGAATACCTATGCCTACCCAATCGAAATCGTCGACAGCTGCAGCGCAAGGCTCTTCGCCAGCCCGCTGGCCGTTCTCAAGTCAGCCGGCGATGACAATGGCAACGAAACCCCCCGCCGAACACGCACGCATTCCGAAACCGATAGCAAGCTCTACGTGCGAGAGCAAACGGCGCAACAGCCTCGCGGATCGGGCTTCCTATCCCAAGGGGTACTTGCTCGGGTTCTGCAAGGCCGAACACTTGTGGTGCGGGGAGAGGTGACAAGCTGGCCCAGAAGCGCAGGTGGGATGGCCTACTTCTTTTCGTGAGAACTAAGCTGGGAGTACCGAGTTGACCACTCTGTCGAAAGTCGACGTCGAATGTTTGTCTGTTCCGTCAGAGCACTGCGCAGTCTGCTTGAAGTACCTGGAATACGATTTGCTTGCAACAAAATGCCTTGGCCCCAGTCCAAAAGTCTGAACACGGAAGCAGTTCTTTCTTGAGCATTGGGTGTATGCTCATTTCCCACATGTTCTTCTCCTCCGTCTACAGCCAGCCTGACGTGTCATCAAGTCAAAGGAGCATTCGAAATCCAAACATGGAATGAGTCGTGTCCGCAGTTCTTCGACCCTGAGAAAGGCCCCGGCTAACGATCTAGTACCGATGGTGCCAACCACGAGTATGCCATCTTCGAAGGCCATGAAGCCAGGCCTATGGCTATTGAATCCCCAGCTGTCACTGATTCGACCACATTATGGACGGCAAACGCGTCTTGCATTTCCCCGAATCCACGAGCAAGACGTCTCTCCGACTCCGGCCTTGTTTCGACCTCGGCTCCCCGTCTCATAGCTCCGGCTCTGAGGCGCGTCGGGATGACCTGGACGTCATCTTGTTCTGCATGAGCTGCTGCCAGTCATCTTGAACCAACCGATCTGCTTCCTCAACTATCCTCTTCGACTCACTTCGGCATCCTGCGCCCGATCTTGCTTTCGCCCGCTGCTCGGTGCCGTTGAAGACTGTGGTGGAGCGTCGCGATGTATGCGGTGTTGCCATGGAGCGATCGAAATTGTCTGTTTTCGCCGATTCTGGATTGTTGCACAACTATCCGCTAACATTCGATAGTTTCCGCCAGCCTTAGCCCTCAGCGCTGCAGCCGTCATTTCGCCCGCCACCGCGCAGGACCACACCTTAATGCTCTGTAGCATTCGCGAACGCCTGAACCATTTGCCCGACAACCTCGCGATACCAGCCTCCCTCAGTCATCAAGTTTTCAAGAGCTCCAAGTCTCAAAAGCATCGTTTGTACCAGCTCCGCAAACGCCTCTTGGATTACTCACTCTCTGAGGACGTGGGGGAGGGCAGTCTGTGTCGGGCGGTGTCAGCACGAGATTTAAAGTACGGAGCCAGGCTCGCAAGGGCAATCAAGAAGGGTTGTTACTGCGGAGGGGCTGCCTCCAGGATCCCGAGAATGAAGTCGGTCTACAGCCGTCGGCTACAACCAGCTCGGCGGCGGAGAACGGCACGAGATCTCAACTTCTTTGAACGATACCCGCTGCTCATTGGGCGGGTTCTTCTGAACCTCGGAGTACGTCCTATTGCCATGATTCCACAGGACATATCTGCTTCGGCCGTGGGAAGTGCCAAGCCAGATGAGGAGCATAAAGAGACGGCTGGCGAGCTTGTTCTCGACGTCGGCGGAATCGTTTCTGAGCGTACACACAAACGACCAATGGACCCCGAATCCCCGACGCTGCGCCGACTGAATACGGATCTCCCGCGTCGACAAGCCCGCCGCCGCAGTGGCGAGGACACCTTCCGCCAGACCCATGATGCTCACTCCTCAGTCATCCGGCATAGTGTGTCGTCCCGCGAGGGGAGGGAGAGGAGGGGTACTGCCAGCCTCCCGTCGCCTTTGTGACGGCTTTCGGCATCGTCATCAAGAAGGAAGCCTCGCAACAGCAGAAGACGTGACACTACAGTCTCATTGAGGCAATGCGACGCGAATAATGCGATACGACTGGTGAGCAGCAAGCCGGCACGTCCAGCCTACAGAAGTACGATGACGGCGGCGAATCCCACGAGTGCGTTCGGCAGTGACACCGCGAGGGAGGGGAGCGGCGATGGATACGAGTGAGATAACCTTGGTTTGCCAGCTCAGATTGGCTGATTCATCAGGCCGACGGGACGCCGAGGGGGCCGAGGACCGGCGGCTCGCGCGATGAGGGATCAATCGCCGTCTATCATGGAACCTGCTGGCCGTGCTGCCGCTGGTGATGTCTGATGATGACGATTTTGTTTCCCATGTATTGCAAGAAATTGGATAATTGTTCGCACTGCTTTGCGTGAGAAACTGTTTTCATGTCTATTATCGCAGTGCTGGTCTGATTCCCGTTTGGACTTGGCGATGGATTGGTCTTGACACGTAGCCCACGAGGATGAAGTGGTGGCTCTGCAAGCCGGGTGAGCATGCTTGTCTGATCCCCGTCTCTGTCTGCTCGACTCTCACAAGAGCGCTGGAGACGAAGATATTTCAGGACGAAAAGCCAACGCAGTCGATTGTGATCATGGTGCACCCATTCCAAAAGTCTGAGGAACTCGGAACAGATGAACGACATAACTATGTCTCGCGAACGATGAGGCGATGATGCTGCGGGAGACAAGGAGAACTTGCTGTTTGGAATCTCAAGCAGAAGAACGAGAGACTGCCGCGAGAATGGGACACTCGATTCTCCATGGTGAGTTCATGGGACCGACCAAGCGTAGGGCCCACGGATCCACGAAGACTTTGGTGACCGTGAGACAAAGAGCGGCAGCGGTCCCAGAGCACAACTTTATTCTTCATGGAGTAACCCGGTGCGATGCCGACATTCACAAGATTCCACATCATCAAGAGCACTGCCACCCCACTCATCTTGGATGTGTTCAAACCGACCACTGGTTCGTTCATCAATAGACATGGCCACAACAGCGACGCCCTCGGTGGGCATTGACCTGCCGTTTGCTCAGCGTTCAAATGCGACTAGGCCCACGTGGAAGGTTTCCAGCAATGAACGCATCGTCGTGAGTCGTACCTTTATGGATATAAACACGCTTCCATATTTATTCCTAGTAAGACAATTACAATAATCTTTCTCGTCTTTGGGCTGGCGCTTCTTAACGGGCAACATGACGCAGAGACGCAGACGCCGTGCCAAGAATTTGGTGACGCAACAGCTTCCATTCATTAGCCATGAGGGCTTGATGAGGGGATTCCATTCATGATACCTATTTGTTATAAATAATGAGATGGTATAAGATACATTGAGCTCAGATGAGGTAAGATAAGATATGTAATGAGATGAGATGAGATATTCAATCAGATGAGATGAAATGAGACGGATTATAAGATGAGAGAAGCCATGAGATGAGACATGTTGGAAGATGAGATACGAGATCGGGATCAAACTCATTTCCACCAATCCGGAGCCGTTCAGCATGAGGAGTCTACCCGCAAGATGAAAAAGTACTTTGAGAAGCTGAGATTATCCTTTCTTCTCGGTGCAAACACCTCCCGTCATCTAGCATCGCCCCCAACTGTGGGCGACAGTTGGCCGATGACCGCCCCCAAGCAGGGTCGACGGTTGGCAAAGCGCCCCAAACTGGGGGCGACAGCTGGTAGACCACCCCCAGCTGGGGGCGGCAATTGGCAAACCGCCCCAAATTGTGGGCGACCTTTTCTTAGAGCGCCCCCAACCGCGGGCGATCATGGCCGACCGCCCATCGCGATGCGGCGAATTCGATTGAGCTGTTTGGTTTCGCTGCAGACGAGAGGACCAGCATCACTCCCAAAAGCAGGCACTGCGACCCTGGGACCACAGGACAAGTGCCGTGGCCACGGAAGTTGGTCACAGCAGGTGCCGTGACCACACGAATTGGTCACAGCTGGAGTGCCCGGGCCCGTACCTTCCAAGTTACCTGCCCAGCACCTTAGCTACCCAAGGCACCTAGGCAGGAGGTGGGTACCTTCACTGTCTGGGCCGGCCATCTCACCTTGGAAGGCAGACAAAGACGGGAGGCAACAACAGCCCAGCAGCCCGGGGCCTCAATGCCACTCGAAACAAGAAAAGTTCGGATGAGCGGCCACCTTGAGCGAGCGAGCGGGCAAAGATTTGACACCACGCAGCTTCCAGTGCCATGAGAATCGCCACGGACCTTGTGGCATGCTCCTGGCCACTGGCGCCCCCGCTCGCTGGCGCCACCATTTGATGAGTGGACTCATCTCATCCCACCCAAGCAGAAGTTCTGCCTTGGTGGCGGCGTCTTCACGACACATACTCGCCTCCTCGCCGCTCCATCGTCACTTGTAGGCCGCTCAATGAGGGAGCTTACGGGTGGGTATGACTGTGAGTTGATGCTCCGTTGGTAAATACGGCGTTGGAAATGTATGCGGTCCATGTCGCAAACTGATGGGTGGTCCAGTGTGGGATGTTGGCAACGTCACTATCCCAGGGCGCGCTGCCCACACAGGCCTTGCTGCATTTGTCAAGGAATCAAGAAGAGCTTGCTATGATGCAAAGCTGGATCATTCTTCATTGTATCATCTAATCATAATCGTAGTCATAATCATCGTAGTCATAACCCAAATACTGTTGCCTCGACGGGCAGTCTCATAGTGACGGGCACCCGTGACCCGTTCCTTTGTCCGCCCCCGGCCCCCCAAAAGGAAAACAAACAAAAACCGGAAACACCTCAGTCCTTCTCGCAAATTCTTTGCAGTTCCTCCAACGTTTGAGACGCTTCATAAACCTGCAGCGCGATCTTCCGTACGCATGTCTCCGCCTTGACTCGCTTCGCCCGGGACGTGGCGGCGTCCTCCGTCCTCTTCCGCTTCTGACAGCCCGCCTGTATAAGGCCCTTTTCCCAATCGCCAGCCCTGAGATCTCCCTGGGAATGGCTTACCCACTCTTCCTCTGAACCTTCGGCCGCGCGCAGAAGCTCGGCTGCTCGGGCAACCATACGCTCTTTGATCTCGATCATGTTGCTCTTGAGTACAGCGGAATCCTGCATTGCCTCGCTCTCGTCGTCTTCTTGGCGCGCGATGTAAACTTTCGCCCCAACAACCTGCTCAAGGCCCTTTTTGAAGATCTCCTCCAAGGCGGCGACGTCGGTAGCCGGCACTGTCTCGGCTTCTTTGCGCTTCTGCCGCGATGTCTCTGTGTCGGTCTCGTCACGGTGATCAGAGGACTTGTCCGCCTTGCCCACCTCCTGCTCCGTTTCCTCGACGTCGGAGTCGTTCATACCAATGCCGCTGTCTTCCATAGATGCCGCACCCGTTCTGGAACGCATCCTGCTGGCTGTTGCACCCATACCAGCCCCCGATCCTGTGTCCACAGTGCCTGTCATCGCCATTTGTGAAGGTGACTGGGCGTTGAGCGGCGAGGGTGAGTATCTGACCAAATCGTCTTCCTCTTCCTGATCGCGGGTACGGAAATAGCCGGTGCTTGCGCCGTACGTCTTCTGGCGAGAATCGTCGTCGCCTGTCGGTGATGATGGTGATGTTCTAGAAAAGTAGGTCTCTCGACTCTGGTTCTGGCCGGCTGTCTTCGACTGTGTCTCGCGGTCGTTGGAATCTCCACCTTGGGAATCCCCGTCGCTCGTGGGAGCAATGGATGTAGAGGATTTGTCGGGCTGGGTGTGGTCTGTTTCGCTTCGGCGATCGGATTCGTCGTCGGTTACTTCGGATTCGCCAACAGACTGTTCGGCTTCTTCGCTTTTCTGCTGCAATCGTTCCGCCACTTCAACACAGTCAGTCAACAATCATACTCAACAAGGCAGGAGCGACGCTTACGTTGCTTTTTTGCCGAAATTATCTCCGAGGGCGTGAACTCATTGGTGAGGTAGTGGCGAGGTCGACGATGCCTATCGGCGCGGACGGCGAGAACCTCCGAAAAGAACGTCGGGGCAGTTACGTCGAGAGCGTCGATACCCAGCCAGGCCTCTCGGGATCTCACTGCAGCTGCTCCAAACCAAAGAAAAAGCTCAAGCGGATGTTGAAGCTCGAGAGCTTTGACGGCCTGGAGGCGGCGAGTCTGTTCGGATTTCGGCAGGCTGGTCCAGCAAGAACCGAATTTCGCCTCGAGGACGCGAAGGAGGACGGGAGCGTCAATGTTTGTGGTGGTCCACTGGGCGAATGGGACTCGGGGTCGTGTCTTTGGGAGTTTCGACTGGTACTGTTTGTAGCCCGAAGCGAGGTTGTCGTACGCCTCAGCTAGCTTCTCTTGGGAAGCCTCGAAGGCAGCAGTAAAGTCTCGCAACAACTGGTCGAGACTTGTTGCGGCCGAAGATTTCGCCCCGCCTTTTCGAGGCATCAATTGAGGACAAAAACCACCTTTTTACCGAGGTGAGCGGCGCGGCGTCATATTGTCGGTAAGGTGTTTGTTCGTCGTCGGCAGAATGGTGGGTTTGAGACATTGGAGGAGGGATCAGGTAGGTGACGTACCTAGGTAAGACAGGCAGGCACGTTCCTACCTAGGTAGCTAAGGCAGGTACGTCGCAGCGGGGTCACCATTAAAATGCGGGCGTTGTGGCGCGTGGGGGGCAGAACGCCCCACTGCGACGCTCAGGTACATCGCTGTTTGTTTCGTTGCTGGCAAAATCGACGAGATTCCGACGAGATTTCGTGCCTCAAATACGCTGCGATTGGGTTTCTCAGCCCACCCTGGGTCAAATAAATCCGCAGAAATTTGAGAGGATGTGGATTGAATTAATTCAATTGATTCCGAAGAGTTTTTATATTTACCAATTTGACGTTTCTTTCAATTGCATTGCAGGCGTCAGCAGAGGGTAGAAGTACCTCACCAGTCTTTGGCTGGTCCAGGTCCCGCCCCACACGGGCAGGCACCAACGGACCCCATTGGCGAATCTCATCTCGCTTATCTGGGCCACAGCGGAAAATTCCCATTGGTCCGTCGCCCCTGACAAATCCCACATGTCGATCCAAACGACGGGAGACTTCCCTCGGCTTTCCCCTCACCACCACCACCAACACCATCACAAGCAACCAGCTTCTCACGAACCAGCCGCTGGCCAACACCATGGAACCACCAACTCTTTGCTATTCGCACTTTGTGCCACCGACATGGGGTCAGCTTTCTAGGCACCGTCGACATCACCTCTGAAAAGAGCCCAGGACGGCAAGATTCCACCGGTGTATCGCAGCCCATTTGCAACCACGCTCAAATTTCGATCGGTCATGAATCTATGTCTTCAACCTTCCCGGGGAGATCTGCCGCGAAAACACGAACACTGCCAAGCTCCCTTGGACCCACGAGGGTTGGCAAGATGGCTGGCCAGACCACCTCGCCCCCCCTCGCGAACTCCGCGAATACATGATTTGAATATCCAACAAATTCCAGTACACTCAAGATCCCCGACTCATCTTCGCATCCCCTCCTTCCCCCATACAGAATACCTTCGTGGATGCTACAGACTGCCACGGCCGCACGAAGTACCCCGCCCCAACCACGTCGCATGGTTGCTGACAAGTTGACCCAGGACATCACCGCACTCCACGCGACGGAGTCCTCCGGCCTCACAGCGTCCGCGACAAGTCCACCCCGTCTTCCAGATGCATTTCCTGAACCCGCCGGCCGGTCGGGCAGTAGTGAACATCCGTACAAACGAGGAATCATTGACGCGAACGCCGAAGTGCGCCGGAGAACCCATCCAGAGTGCGGGTGTCCCGGGCGAGGTGGGCATGCTGTACCTTGATCATCCAATGCAACTCGCGGCGACTCCCATGGTCTGCAGCCTTGCACCGTGGCTGGCCAGACCACGGCGCACGCTCCGTGTGACCTCGGGGGTGTGCTTGTGAGGTCGGAGAGGATGATCAAGAGGCAAGCGGAACCCATGACTGATCAGGACGACCGATGATGCATGGCCGTGTCTCGATCGGACAGGCTGGGTTGGTGGATGGATTGTAGTGGCAGGCGGGCTTGGGAGCACCGCAGAGGTTGAAGACGTCATGACTTGTTTGGTTGCCAGAAGCTGCTTCCAAGTTAGAACATGGTCTGGACTCTTGACGTTATGTGAAGCATACCTTGAACCCGTCGAGACGTCTTGTTGACAGTGCTTGGCATGGTAGATGGGAGCCATGCGGCGTGCCAAGGGCAGCGTCGCATCGACTGAGAGTCGAGATGACTTGGCCACGTTGGAGGGGGGTTGCAGTCGAAGTGGTCCGTCCAAGGTGATTGTTTTCTCAGTTGGAAGTCTCAAGAACCAAGCACGCGAAGTCATGGCAGAGAAGCCCTAGTAGGTTGACGTTTTGTTTGGCAAGGGATATCTCGAGATGTTTTTTAAGAAACAGGAGGGTTGTCATGGTCGCTGTTCCAGCCAACCCAACCGGGTGATGGTGATGGGCTTGACCGCGAGGAATGGGAACGAAGGAAGGCCGGGAATCTGGACCTTTTGAATATTGCGGAGGAGCTGCGAACTCCTGACGAACTTCACCGCTGTCTGGTCGCCCTTCTGCATGAACTCAACGTGTTTGCATGGGCAGGAATGGAGCTGCGAACTCTTGACAACCCCGCCGCTGGCATTTTGGCCACAGACATGAACTCATCGTGTTTGCGTGCGTCCGCGTCGCGGCATGAACTACGTGGTGTGGGGATTTCGGCATCGACCTGCATATGCATGTCGTACATGAACTGCTGTCTTGGATGAAGCGATGGCAGGCACAACTATTCCTTCATAAACTACCTACACAAGCTTGCATAAACCCAGCAACCACACGCTCGCACGCTCTTGCCCAAAGCAACCTCGCAGCATCGCGACTTCGTCCCTCCAAAGCATCATGAGGACGCTCCCGCATCGTACGGCAAATGGCTCGTCTTCTCCTCCGCACGACACCTGGCGTGTCGCTCGCGATACCAGTTCCACCATTCCAAGTCGCCCGTCACCGGATAGCCGAAGGAGGTCGTCTCCGACGCGACGTGGGCCATGTCGGCCGTCGCAGTCGCGTCAAAAACATCCGCCGCAGGTCCCACGACGCGAGTGTTTGTCGCCGCTGGGCCCATGTCCTCGTTCACAAGCTCGACATCTCGTTCCGGAGCAGGCTCGTCGTGGAGGTTCAGATTCTCGACATCTGGCCACCACGGGTCTTGCGCCTCCGCCTCAACCTCCGTCTCCGCCTCCTCGACTGGGCCCGCCTCTGACGCCGGCTCTTCTTCCGCCTCCTCTTCCACCCTCATCTCTGGCGCCGTCTCTGGCACTCCTTCCTCTTCCAACGAAACACCGCGAATCCACCGGGGGAAATTCCGCTTGATCGCCGTCTTCAGATGACTGTGCCGAGGCAAGTCCCAACTCGCCGGCCACCTCTCTTCCGTCGCATCCTCCGCCCCGCCCCCGTCCATCTCCGCAAGCCTCCTCAGCTTCCTCATCCCAGCGTCCATATTCTCGACACTCTTCTGTATCCCGACACTGTCCTCATCGCCGCTATCCTTGTGCGCGTCGTGGAACCGCAGGTACTGCCGAGCCCGGAGGGCGGGCTTCTTCGGGTCCGCATCCACGGCCGCCTCTGGCCCGGCGAGGTCCGTCACTGTGCCTGTTCGAAGAGCATACGAGTCAGCAGCCATCAGAGACGTCGTCCAAGGATGGGCGGAACGGGAAAACACCAACTTGCTCCGGACGCAACAATTGTCTTGGGGGAAAAGACGGCAACCGAGGAGGCCTTGTGAACGGCCTTTCTTCCACCGAGATGCGCCTCTGTCTCCGGGTTGCCGGCATCTTTGGGCTTGTCGCTGCGTGGAGAGACCGACAGACGGGGCATGGCGTGGCGCGAAGAAGAGGCTCTCGTGGCTCGCATGTACGTCGGCTCGGCCGCTGCTTCGTCTGAGTCTGCCATTTCTCTTCGAATCGGCGAGCTTCGGCGTGGAACGTTCGTCGGTCACGGCACACGGAGATTGGGGCAAGGAGAACATTTAATCTTGGAACTTGCAATGTTGCTGGGCTGCCTGCTAAGCAAGGAACCCGTCATTTCCGCCCGACCACACGTACGCAAGATCTCCCTTTCACCCCTATGACATTGACATTTGATCAAAATTGCTCCTGCGTTTCAGAAGCTCGTCGAACAATCTCGTCTGAATAACTTCCTTTGACAGCCACGCCACCTCGTCTGTGCCCTCACGACCACAACCGACACATCACATCAACCACCACCCGGCCACAACCCTTCAGCAGCACACAATCTGACCAACTCCTTCATCATCGCCGCACGATCCTCTCCCTGGTCACGTCCCGCCCCACTGGCACTGCTGCTGCCGAAAGACCAGCTCCCAGCCTGCCTGTTCCAATCTCGGGCGGCTGCATGCATCTGCGGCAGCACGCTGCCCAGGTACAAGGCCCTCGCCGCGTCATCATACAGCGCGTCGGCGACCTCCGTGAGGACCCGCGCCCAGGCATCGTCGTCCTCATCCCCGTTTGCGCTGTCGTCGTCGTTGTCGTTATGACGATGAACGTGCTGCGCGGCCTGGTACGTATTCGCGATTGCCTTTGTCCACGCCCGAAGTACGATCTCCCGTTCCAAGCGTCCCGGACGACGGCCCTTTCCAGCAGACGAAGCGGCATCATGACGACCACCACCTGGAGAAGCAGCAGAAGAAGAAGACTCACCGCTGCTGAATGGCGGTGTGCGGGCGTCCAGACCGAGCGCGCTGAAGAGGGTCGGCCAGCTGGACATGCCGACGCCCGGGTGGGTGCTGCTGAGGGCGTGACTGGCGCGGCAGATCTTTGCAAAGGAAGCGTTGGCGGCGGCGGAAGCGACGGGAGTCTGCAGCATCGGCGGGGCTGGGTTCCAGCGAAGAAGCGCGGCACTGGCCATGACGGTTGCCAGTGCGCCGAGACACAAGAAAAATTTCGTCAGAGGCATGGTGGTTGGGGCCTCGTGTCTTCTTCTGTCCTGAGGTGGTGCCATGGTGAGGGTCGAGAGAATTCTGGGTGCGCTCTCGTTGGTGTTGCAGGCGCTCCATTTCCGTTGAAGAATGTCTTCACTGCCGCCAGGTATTTAACTTCCTCTGCTGCTTGGCTGGAATCAGTGTTGCTGATACGGAAGAGCAACTCCAAGAACGATCTGGCGGTGTCGGGAAACAGGTCGTGGCCGGTGGCGTGGTGATGCGTTTGTTCCGTGTTTTGGACCGAAATGAGGCTTCAAGCGAGACAAGGCCCGCTCAGGGAGAAACAAGCAAACAAACGATGAGATGCGCCAGGTCAGTCACATTCGGCCACGGCCAGGTCATCAGGAAGCAAGCGGTGTGTTTTCAAAAGTGGCCAATGATGAAGCTCCATGTTTCGCCCGAAGCTGACCAAGACAGCATCAAAGACGGTCTCGCTGGACCAACTCAGCGGACGGCGATACGTGGTCAGCACGGTGATGTATATATCCCGTCGCCATGAAGCCAGACGGCCCTTCGCATACACAGCCAGAACCGTGAATCGCCCAGGCAGACCGCCAGAATGAGCACACGCAACCCGAACCAACGCCCCCGCGCGAGCCCGGGTTCTCGCGAGCAGCCACTGCCAGAGCCAGCCGGCTGGAAAGAAATGGTGGCCGGAAGTTTGCTGCAGCCGAGACCCAATCCCAGAAAGGTTCCTTTCCTCCTCCTCTTCGTCCTGCTACCCGACCCGTGACGTACGTACAGACAGCTGACAACCAACCTTCGCGGCACAGACACCCAGACAAGACCGCCCGGCGCAGCCCCGACCGCCTCCGAGGGATGCCTCCACCACCGTGGCACCCCGGCCGCCGCCGCCGCCGCCAGCTGCGAACGCCATCTCCACCGCGGTGGCATCCCGGGCACCAGCTGCTCCTCTCGGCAGCAGCCAGGTGCGCACCACGACGACCACAAACAACACTGTCCGCCAGCACTCCTCGCGGACGAACATCATGAATCAGAACAACAACGTCTACAACACAACCATCCACGCCACCTCTCGCTCCGAGTCGTCGACTTCACGTCCAGGGCCCGACGAGAACCCACTCCCGCAGCCGCCGTCACGTTGGCTAGCCTGGGTATCTCCGGCATGGCCATGGCTGAACGCCGCCCTCGCAGTCGTCAAGGCCGTACTCGGTTCCTGTACCAAACCCCTGGTCATCGTGTGTGTCGTCCTCCTCCTCGTCAATTTCCTCGCCACCAGCATCGGCAACGCCCTCTCATCTTCATCGACCTGGATCCGAGCACTCCAGATCCCCGCATGGCTGACTTATCTTCCGTTCCTGAGCCGCGGTGACGGGAACACGGAACCCAGCGCGCAGGAGACACCACCAGGCACCACCCCGGTCCCGCCACCGGCAACAGAGCTCACACAGACGTTCAGTGAGGGCATCCGTGGTGCCGTCGCCGTACACTTCACTGCCAACGAGATCTGGCGCCACCTCGCCCGTTTGGCATCCCTCGAGATAGCGCAGCCACTGCTACGGCGTCTGAATGAAAGTTTGAGACCGAGACCGACCGGCCGAGGCGATGACGACAATACCCGAGTAGCATCACCCTGGCCCGAGACGCGAGCCTCCGCCAACACGCTGCGCCAGCACAGCGACGACCTCCGCTCGGCGACGGAACAAAGACAAGCCTCCGTGCGGCGGGGCATGGCCCGGCTCCAGCGGGATCTCGACATGTTCCCCGCGCAAGACGCCGTCCCGGAGAGCGGCATGTTGGGTCGTGTGGTCGCGGTAAGAGTCCTCCCAGGCCCTTCTTCCTCTTCTTCTCTCGTTGGGTGCGCTGACTTCGGGAACTTTTAGGCTATCGTCACCCGTGTGAAGAGCCTCTTTCTCACCCCGGAACAGATGCTGACCGAGCCGTGGCTGACGGCGCTCCGGCGTCTGGGCACCCTGCACGACCTGCTCGCCGAGGCCAGGGCCCGCCTGGACGAGGACATGGACAAGATGCAGGCGTGGGAGGTGGGCACCGCGCTGAGGAGCGTGAGCGTTCAGTCTTGTGCCGTTGCGGAGGAGTTCAACGGCGAGCTCCGCGGGCTTGATGGCCACGCCGTCGGTCAAGGTAAGTCATCATCATCTCTTTCGTCTCTCTCCCATCCCAACCTTGGAGCAAGTGGCTAACGGAAGATGTGCTGCGCTCCAGACCCCAACGAGACCCCGGACGGGACGGTCGAGATCTTCCGCAACACGGTGATGCAGGCCTCCCGCGTGAGCAGTTTCGGATGCCGCGTTTCGCGTGAGGCCCAGGGTTGGTGGGGAACCAGGCTTGAGCAGGCCAGACGGGAGCATGATTGGCTTGCGGAGGAGCAGGACATGGTGCGATCGATGATGGACTCCATCAGGGCGGGCAACGAGGCAAAGACGACGGGTCAAGTCGAGGAGAGGATGAGAGACATCCTTCGTAGATGGCGGGGGCAGGCGGACAAGTGCTGGGGTGGTGATGGACTTCTTCCGGGAACCGACCTGGACTGTTAGCGATGTGGTTGAGTTGTTGGCTGTGATGTAGACTGGAACCGCAGTGGGACATCGTTGGGAATGTGAAACGGAGAATTGGATGTGTATTTGGGAGGTTGTATCTGAGAAGCGAGGCGCAAGTCCTGTGAATCTACTCCATCGCGGGTCTATGAGAAGATGCATCTGGGACAACAGAAGCGGCAGCCGGAGCCGGAGCCGGAGCGGCAGTCGCAGCCTTAGCAGCCCTCTTCTCAGCCTTCGAATGGCGCTTCTTGTTCTTCTTCGCCCCGTCCAACAGGTCAACCGCAGCCCCGAGATTGACTCCAGCCGGTGAACCCTCTTCCTCCCTCAGATCAACCAGTATCTTCTGCCTCTCGGCCAGCAGGTCCCACATGCGGGCCTCTTGATCGACAAGCGCATGCATCATGGTCTTCCACTCGTTGTTGGCCTTCTCAAACTCCCGCTCTTTCTCAACGAGGCGTTGGCGTCGGTTGTTGATGAGGCCGGGAATCGTAACAATGGGGTTGTTGATGGTGGCTGGGATCGAGGGAACAGGGTTGTTGAACAGAGATCGCTGCTGGGCGTCCGTCGTAGTCGGGATGGTAGGAATTTGGCTGTTGAACAGAGTCCTGTGCCGGGCATCCGTGTTGTCGTTGCTTGTGAGATCAATGGGAATGGGGCGACTCGGCAAGTAATCTCGGTTGACGAAGTTCGGGAGTCGGCTCGGCATCGTGTGCGCTGCGGGAGATAGATCTGCGAGCTCGAATCAGTCCTTGCCGGGTTTTGAAGAGGAATACTGCTTACGAGGCTGTTCCTGGGCCCATCTCTGCACCAGCGGGGAGCTGGTCGCGCTGGCGGTCCGCTGCTGAGCAGGAGACCACGCGCCGGGAACTCGGAGCGGGGTGCGTTGGAGAGGATGGGACGGCGGCGTGCGAGGAGACACAGGTGCTGACTGCTGCAAGCGATTCAGAATCGCCTGGCCCTCAGACTGCGGCTGCTGCTGATGCTGCTGATGCTGGTGCAGATGCTGATGGGGCATCTGATGGGCATAGTCGCGCCCGGACACGTCGTGATGACGCGGAACGAGGTGCTGCGTCTCGCGCCATTTGCGGTCCAAGGCGGCGCGGTCCAGGCCGCTCGGCGTGAGCGGTAGCTCGGACAGATGGCTCAGGTCGCTGATGACGGAGGGTGCGGAGGCCGCGGGGCGAGTGTAGCGATTGTGGATGTCGATGACGGCGGCCTGGAGTTCGTGTGGGAGTTGTTCCCAGTCGTCGCCGATGCTCCGCACCTGCTCGAGGATGCTCTGAGAGTGTGGGGAGTACGGACGAGATGGTTCGGCCATGATGGCGAATTCACGGAGGACGTCCGATGAAGAGATTTGCAATTCGGAAAGCTTATGGAGACGGTCGAGAAAGGGTGTCGGGCTCATGGTGCAAACGGCGGCGCGGGGTCTCAGATGGTGTGCGGGCTGGCCCTAGCAAACGGAGCATGGCGACAGGATGTTCGTCAACGCATCTGAATCTTTGCATCTTGCGGCTCGATACCCACGTGCGACTACGGCTTTCCCGCTTTCGTCTCGGGAATCAGTCGAACCATCATCGTCGGTTGTTTCTGGTCGTCGGTTGCTTCTCCTCGCCGGCCGCCCCATCCCATCAGCCATGAGTGCTGCAGATGATGTGAGCAAGCACTCCCATGGCTGCTTTAGAAGACTTCAACTGACCGTGCCACCAAACAGGGCGATGTCGGCCGGGTTGCCAACGCCAGCAAGCCGCTCAAATTCAAGGGCCGATTCCTCGACCAGCTCGCCACCAACTCCCGGGTCCAGATCATCTGGAAGGACGACGACGACATCGTCATGCTGGCGTTCCTCGCGCGGCGCCGCATCACAGAGAAGAACGAGGTGGACGACCTGGAGGAGGACGAGCTGGCGGAACTCGCGGCGAGCCTCGGATACAAGCAGGGTGCGGCGCGAGGATCGAAGAAACATTGGGCAGCCGTTAGGCGACGGATCAAGACGAGCCTGGCGTACAAGCTGGGGAAGCTCAAGCAGGGCCAAGGGTACTTGCGGTCGGGGCTGAGCGCGGACAAGACGTTGGAGGTGTGGGAATGGCCAGGCGATTATCGGAATCTGTGTCTGAAGGAGGAGGAGATGTTGTTGGAGCGGCGACGAGAGGAAGATGGCGCAGAGGAGCAGGACGAGGAGCAGCGTGGGCGGGATGTCGATGGGCAGCAAGAGCAGCCCGCACAGGCACAGAGCCCAGCTCGAGCATCGGTGGTGGCGGTGTCTGAGGAGGGCGGCATTCGACGCGACGGCGATGAACCGGGCGCGTCGCCTGCCGGCAGTGCGACAAGCAGCAGCAGCAGCAGCAGCGACAGCGACGAAGACGAGAGCAGCGAAGGAAGCGATAGTGACGGCGCGGGTGTCGACGGCAACGACGGTGACGGCCACAGGTCAGCGGCGGCAGAGGTGTTGAGGCTGCGGCATGGGTTGATCGAGCGCGCGGCGCGACGGAGACTCGAGCACCACGGCATCGGCGGCAGAGACGGAAGACGGGAGGGAAGAGACGCGCATCTCTGGGGGCTTCTGGCCACTGCAATGGACAGGCTCAAGATGAATGAACCCCTGCGGATGGAAGGGTTAGCGATGATGTTGATTAGACGGGCGGAGAGGGTATACCGGTAGGCATGGCTTCGGTGCCGTGGCCGTGGCCGTGGCCTTGGTTGATGCTTTGATTGATTGATTGTTGCATTGTTTGCTCGGGTTGAATGGGCTGGGTTGAATGGGTGACGAGGTTGACAAACGGAGGCTCAGCTGTGACCCGTGGCCAGTTAAGCCCGGCCTCCTTCCTCTCCCATCTTCAAGATTTTTTTTCCTTCATTTCTTTCCTTCCCTTTTGATTCTTCCACATGCACCTGCCCATCCGTGTTTTAAGTTTTGGTTTGGTTCGACTGCGGTGCGACTCAATTGATTTCCGTTGGTTGACAACTTCGAATCCATTTTCCATTTTCCAGCTTTGGTGACGTCACTTCCCCGCTCAGCGGGTATCTTATCCTTATCGCCGATCTCGCTTATCGATATCTTATCGACGTCTTATCGCATTCTTCCTCATCTCCGCCCCACTCTGGGGGCGTCACGTGAGCTGCTATTTCAGCTTTGATGCCGGGATGGCCTCGTCAACATCGTCAACATCACCTACGCCGCCGCCACCGCCGCATCCTAGCGACGGCTTCAACACGCTGCGCTTCTGCGTCGGTGTCTATATTCCGTGAGTACACTTCCCGACTCCCTTTTCCTCATCATTCGCTAACTCTTACCCCTCCAGTAACGACGAAGATGACGACAGCAACGATGGGGACCGCCCTGACGACTCCTCCGACTTCGCTACCCAGACTGTCGAGCTCTGCTTCCACGACACTTTTATCCCTCGTCCCGACCAACCTTTGTCCCTCCACCTCTCTGGCGCCGGCTCCGACCTGACCGTCATTCGTTACCACCCGCCGCCGACCCTTTCGATCCCGACACCGCCCTGCTTCATCGTCGAGTGTCACGGCCTCGTCCGCCTCGTGCCCCCGACCTCCGCTGCGGCATCTTCCTCGGCCTCGCCTCTTGCCTTTCTGTCTCCCGCTCCACTGTCTATTCCATCGAGGCCATCGTGGTGCCGCCCCCCGTTTCTCTTCTCGGCTGTCGTGGCCGTCCTGTCCATCGTCTTGTTCGTCTTCCGAGCTCCATGTCACCCTCGATCAAGCAGCGAAACCTGCGGCATAACCAACTCCTCCCATTTCGATGCCACAAACGCGATTCACGATGCAACACATCTCACTTTGCCGACTGACCTCCTGGAAATCGCCGACGCATGGGCTCGCATCCCCCTCCGGCTCGCAACCCTCGACCGTCTTGACTCTTCCGACAACGACCCTGACGCCGCCCTCCTCGCTGGTCTTTCCAGGGACGCCGCCCTTCGCGATACGCGTGAGGTCGCCCGAACAGTCTTCCGCGCCATCATTTCCCCACCATCGACCCGCGATGCCAGCAGTGCCCCGACCGGAAACCACCACACCGACGCAGCCCGCTTCCGGCACTCCTCCTTGACAGACTCCGTCGCTGCTGCGGTAGCATCCTGGCGTGAGGTGGCCGACGAGATCAAAGTCGCCTGGAGTCGGCCGCTCACCCGCGACGCATCGGAACTGCGCCGCCTCCTCCATACCATACCCATCGTCGACGATGCAGACGCCCTCTTCTTCCACACAGAAGGGGGCGGCAATATCGCAAGTCTCGACCGCCGTCTCCTCCCTGTCGTCGACGGAAAGTTGCGCCTCGCTGTGTCGCCTGCCGCTGGCCGCGTGCTCGACGTCTACTTGGACAGCTTCGCGGAGAGCATTTCGCAGAGTAGAGAGTGCGCCTTCTTCCGCGCCTGTACGCACCCGCCGCCACCGCCGGATCGACTGCACCCTGTATGCCAGATGCCTCCGCTCCCTCTCGACCACTCCATCGTTTTCCTCGAGGGTTGGGATCAGTCCCGCCGCCAGTCGCTGGCCAACCGCACCCAGACCACCGCCGTCGACCATGATCTCCTCGATGAACCGCCCCTCGTCGCATTGGCTCGCCATCTCACCGCCCTCGGCAGCAGGGTCGACGACCTCATCACCATGGCCACCTCGCTCGGGGCGAACAAAACCAAGATCTACAACAAGAGAGGCATGGGGGACTGGGCCCGCGGATACTTCCAAAGGCCGCGGCTGCCCGAGGATAACGAGAGCGCCAGCAACTCCAATACTTCCGCGGCCATCGCAGCCGAACGCCTCCGCGGTCTCCGCATCTCATCCATCCACCCCCAGGAAACATCCGCCGTCATGGCCGTAGTCGCCGCTCGCGACGCCTGCACGCGCCTGGAAGAATTGCGTGACACTGCCTTCCGGCTGCGGGGCGGCGAGGGGTGGGTGCGGATCGCGATGCACACCGACACGCGCGTGACGCACGCGCAGCTTCCCCGACCCAAGGTCCTCGCCGAGGCCGCCGACGCGTTGGCGGCGAGGGTCGAGGCGGATGGGCATCAGTTGACGGAGGGCTTGTATCGTCTGATGGCCGCGCAGAGGAGCGATTGGTGGCGGGTTGGCGGTGCGGAAGATGCCGACTCCAACGGTTAGAACGCAGCTTGGATGACTTGCCGCCCGCTTCTCCATGAGCATAAACTTGTGTGCTCAAGAGGATGACGCTCGGGAGGGAATGGCTCAATGACTTCCTCGTCTGCCTACCCTCCTCTTTCGTTACCCAGCCAGACATGTCGTGTCATTGATCCCTGGAACTCCTCGTCCTTTGACATCTTGATAATCCCATCCCCCACCCATGTAGACATCATCGCGTGAACCCTCGACAGTTCCGGTTTACGTATGAAGAATCTACGGCTGGGCAGTATTTTCTTTCGCCATTCTCATTGCCGTACTGGAATCCGCTATGCCTGGGGAAACCCGTCAATTCAGCTGGAGGATCCGGCACTGCGCGGGCGCCTGGCGGCGGCAGTTCCCAACGTATCACGACATCTTTCCCGCAATGCCAATACCCAGTCGTCCTAATAGGATCACATCCATCATGCGCCACTGCTTTCAATACGCGGGTACCTTCTCCCTGAGCCCTCGGCGCCGCGGAACTATCCATCTACGACGTGAAGCCCACAACTTCCTTTCTAATCCGCTGACTTGGACTTTGGAATTCATCATGCCCTTCCTCCGACGGCATTCAATCTGCATCCCTGCATCCGTCTTTGATCATGACTTCTCAACTCGTGCGCTCGTCCGAAAGTCACAGTTTTCTCTGACATGAAGTGGAATGCTCCGTTGGAAGGTCGGGGTTGGCTCCATCAAGGCCGGATGGTGGAACTAACCCCTCTGCGAAAGTACAGTAGAAAAAGCAGTTTGGAATTCCAACCGTATCCAACATCCTCAAGAGGTGTTGATTTTATTTTGATTTAATAAAAGCAATCCGACGTATCTCATGCCCATTTCTCGGATGTCACATGGAAATGAGAGAGCCAGTCTCCTGCTTCAAGTTTTCGCACCAACACCCGTCAAAACAGCGGTACAAATCAACCCCACTATTCTCCAACAATGATCCACTTCATCTCAACCACAAAATTCATCATTGGTCCGAAAAAAGCATGGGCCTCTGCTGATTGGCTACGACTCCGCACTCGAAGTACCGCAGTTCCCGTCGATGGGTTCTCGAAGCGTCCGTCGAATTGAACTCTCAAAGGCCGAATTCATGACGCCAGATTCATGAGTGCGTCCATCATACAAGGACCGTAGATGCTCTCTGACTCTCACAAACCTTGCTTGTCTATGAATTTCTGTTCCGGGAGAGTGGTTGGAGTGGCCACTGAGCTTCTTGACCGCTCAAACGGATGGGGAATCTCGTTCCTGGTCAGGGCCAGACGGATGCAGCCGATCGTCAGAAGGAACACCAGGTTTTCATCCCGTTCCGAGGCAATCAATCCCCATTCTGATCATCAGAGTGCCTTGTTTGTTGCTTCAAATGAAGCATATAAGTTTCTCTTGAGTCGGATTTGCAAGGCGAAGATCTCATGGAGCACGAGTTCGGAGTTGTCTTCGCCAACATGTGGTGTTCCCGATCTCTGTTTGTCAGGGAACATCGAGCACAGCAGCACTCATTATTTGGTACCGATTTATGAGATTGGATGAGCTTGATGATATGGGCCAGGTTCATCTTACAATTTCTTCGAGATCTCATCTCACACTCATTATATTTCATATTCTTTGGTCTCTACTCATTTAACAATCTATTCATTCATTTCATTTTCATCTCATGTCACGCTCAACTCATTTGATTTACGTTTCATTCCACATCTCATGCCACACTGTAGACACATGAACTGGATGGATTATGATGGAACAGTTGAGATGGCAAGCCGCACGAACCGCTCAGTATTTGAGCCTCTCGTACCAGAAGTATACATAATGGTCATTCATGGACATGTGACACGAAGTCTCATCCAATTTACATCTTCATTTTGACGTTCTTCGCGAACTCTCATCCATTGTAGGGCGGGCAGGTTGCTGTGAAGGTTCAACTACCACCGGTGACACTCACTTGGGTGGCGAGGACTTCGACCAGCATGTTATCAAGCACTTCGCTAAGACCTACAACACCAGCATCAACGTCGAAATCACCAAATTCAGAGCAAAAGTAGCCAGATCAGCAAGCATGCTCTCGCGAACGCTGTTCATTGTCTTAAAGAGAAGGGGGGAAACACCGCTTTGGCTACGGAGAAGTCTTGGGCTGGGTTCGATGAGTGGTCTGTGGAAAGCCGGAATGTGACTTGCCTCATGTGACGCTGCTGAGACTCTTGTATCCTTTTCCACGCGAACGGAGCGGAAATGCGCCGATGGATGCACATCAAGGCCCGGCGGCGACGGGATCGACGTCGAATGGCACTCCAGCTACCGTCGCCATGCCGCATTCGAACCATCTTCCGGTCCTCTGTCCCTCGGAACCAGGTGGTACGTTTGATGCAACCTAAAAGCAAAAGTTGACCGTTATCCTAGTATTAATCGGTCGGTGTAGCGTCCGTCGTTTCAGGCACCAGCAAAGTCTATTACCGGAACCTTTCCTGAAATCTCCAGCAGCACTTCAAAAAAAATATGTTGAGGCATTGCGTCTATTTAGACTTGTCAGTGGCCTCGGGAAGTATCTTGCAGATCCCCGATTGGCATAAAAGCCGACTTTCACTGTCCCTATTCGATACAGTCCCTGCAATACCGACCTCGTTCGGATTCAACATTCTTCAATCGAAACATTGTGCATACTACAAGCAAGGGAGGGGATTTGGGCTGGAAAGGGGAAGGTTGACTGAGACTCGTCTGTAGACATATTGAATCTTAGAGAATCTCCCATGAGGGACCTAGAATTATCCAGTCATTCTAATCCTTGATGATTACATGCTTATCATTTATTCAATTCATTGAATGACGGGTAACCAATCCTCGACCCGGCGAAGGCACGGGTGCCACATCACCAGCATAACAACCTCCGGGAATGGGAACAACACCATTACGATCTAATGACTTACTAGGCAAGTCGTACGGGTCGCCATGTCCACCACTGCCGAGACGATTGAACCAAGCTCGTCTCTTGTCCGCATCCCATCTTCAGACTTGAATCTTCGGAAGGCTGTCCAACACCCACGATAGCGGTTGCGCTAGTTACGGGCATCATGCAGGCCTGTTTCCGCAGGAACAGTGATGTCCTTGAAGGGGAATTTTCAAAAGCGAGCACATAGCACGATCTACATCCAAGTCCAAAGTTGCCCCACGAGGGCCTTCGAATCTCTGCCGCAAGCATCTGGGGAAAATACTAATATATTGAACGGCGTATGCTTTGCATCTTGCAGTTCAGACCAAAACCATGCGCCTCGACCTTCTATTCTTTTTGAAACAAACCCAGGTGCCTGCACCAATGCACCGGAAGATGCCTGAAGAGCCTCAAAGGCTCAATGTTGCTTGACTTCACGAAAGCAAGGGTTAAGCGCCAACGTGGCGAGAGTGATATCATGAGAGAACGTTTGGGGGAGAAAGTCTTATATAGCGCGACAACTCGTCACGCATTAGGGACAGTTGAAGCTTCATCTGTGGTAGAATGGATGCAAAGTGTCCAGGAATCCGCCAAGTATGGATCGAGAACGTAGCTAGAATGTAAAGTCAGCACATTTCCCCTACCCTACGTCTGGCGAGGATGGCGAGGATACAATACGCCCATTCAATGAACCTCCCCTCTTTTTCTCTTTTTAGATTTTCTCACACTCGACACACCGAGGGTCTGAGAACTGAGACCCCCTGCTTCTAAGATAATGGAATCCGTCCTCAGTGAGAATGGCGCAGGAGGCCTCTATGAATTCATGTCTTCTATACTTCTATTGGCGGTTCAATGCAATAGAGACGTCTTTGCCACTTTGAAAAGAGATTCCTTTACTGCTTTGGTGTTATGAAATAGTGAAGCTTTGGCTTGTTGAGGATGAGAAGCAAGTGGCAGTGATCATCGAGTCTAACCAGGAACACATGATAAGTAGAAGCATTCAGATGCGAACGAGAAACTTGAATTCTCGTCATCACAAGCATTCTCTTCACGTAGACCTTGACGTCAACGAGGAATTGCAGTTTATCTCTGGAGTCGTGGCCATAAAGGACGATGTCAAGGAGCGCTCTGGCGACATTGAAGGCACCGCCAGCACCGAGAATGAATGAATTTCTTCTCAAATGCTCAGATGATGAATCTGGACGCATTAAAAAGAGACTCAGACAAGCTGCTCGGACAACTATCAAGTTCCAAAGAAAAGCAATGATACGAGGCGCACGACAGCAGATATCACTTACCTCATTCAACAGGATCGGCGCTGGCGAGATGAATTATGCCGTGGTTGAGAATGAAGGGTTGCGGACGTATGGTTGTCTCAAGGAACTTGAGACCAAATGTCGTTTAGTTGTCGGTGGCCACCTAGGCTCTATAAACAATCACTCCGAACGAAACGGGTGTTAGTACGCTGTTTCCTCTTCCAAATTGAGAAAGACTTGAGATCGATGTGTGGAAGTAAACTCCATGAAGTCGAAGACTGGTATTTCGGAACACGACATTCATATGAAAGCATAGTAGCGAGACATCAGCGGTGTCATTGAAGAACAAGACAGAGTCATGTTCAGGCGTTCTGGTGATCAAAAAAGTTCGGAGAGAGATTTGATGGCCGTCCCAGATGAGGAGATTCGACGCCGTACAAGACTCCGAACCGATCCGATGGGGAAGAGACCAGATTCTGATAAACCGATATCATGATGTTGTACCGGATGACTTGTAGAATGTAGACTTGCTCGATCTGAGACATTTAGCATCGAGCTCTTTTTGAGTTCCATCGAGACTCACGAACCGAGCGAAAGCAGTATTCCCTCACCTGACTTCGCCTCCTCACATGTGTTACAAAATCTGTCTGCAGTTCCTTTCCACACACCGCCGAAACCGCCGTCAATCTTGATACTAGAGTCGAGTCAACTTCCTCGCCATATTTCTGTACCATCGTTTTCTCTCATCTTGTAGCGTAGCTCAACCTGCTTCTTCACATCACCGGAAAGATCTGAGCTGACACCACCCACGTCTTCCAACTTGGTCAAAGGCTTGCCGAAGGCGCGATTCATCTTGATGATGGGATGGTCTCTTCCTATCACTGGAGCCCCGAGCTCGCGCTCTCTCATAGAGCAGCGCTCAGTATGATCGTATCGTTGGCCCATCGAACGTCTCGACCATACGGGCTGCTCCTCCTCCTGCTTGCATGAAGCCAACTATCTCTCTCCGAATTCGATTTAATGTGTGATTTGATTTCAGTTGATGACGGAAAAACGACTTTGGGAGTATTTCCTCCGCGAGAACTCGGCACTGCAGCAACTTGAGTATTTTCGTGCTCTGTTGGGCCACGGCGGCCAAGTCACCAGAGATCACAGACTACGTGTGGGAATGAAGCATACCCCTCTGCAAAAAGTCATGAATGTTGAATGAGTGAACAGATCAAGCGATCCAGCATTTCGGTTATTCGATGTCACCTGTGCCTACATGTTCACAAGATCGACTCAGCTCAAACAGAAGTCAGCTTCAGACGAATGAAATGCGATGATGGAACCCCGAACAGAGACATGAGAGGTCAGCTTAGGCAGCTTACATACGCAGCGCATACGCGACTGTTGTCTTCTTCCCGATGCAGAAGCAAGGGACTGAGGAATGGTGGCCCGCCGTGAAAACGGAGTAAACTCATCGCCTTTTCTCGGAATGCTACACCAGTTGACCGACGACATAACCGGCATGTAACATCATCGTAAGGGTTCCCATTCAACCAGACTCAGCTCGCGAGGCCAGCGTGGATGGGTTTGTGGCATAGTGCGGTCCCGTGTGGTTGTTTTCTTCGGCCCATCACTGTCTTCTTCTCCAATGGATCAAGGCAAATTATGAGCAAGCGTTGCGGTTGGACTTCTCGAAGTTTATGGAACTGGGAGGTCTGAATAAGACCAAGAAAAAGGAAGGAGTATAGGATGAGATTCGACACCATCGTCGAGTGATTAAGGCTACCGCATGATGGCGGACTATAACCAGTCTCTCTGGTATTCCTTTTTTACCTCCTTGAAGGTCTTTGGAGACTTTCATCGATGTCTCATCATACTCTCAACCCCTGAAACAAATAGAAGCTAATTGGTTGACCAACCTTGACGCGGCCCAAGCGGTGTTCTTCCGAATTCGAAGATGCTCATCATCTTTCAGTTTTAATCTAGAATTCAGCCATCATGCACTACCAATCTAAAGACGTCTATGGCATACGCCATTTGTCTCCTGCTTCCACCCACTTGTTTGCTCGCTGTCCTGGTTGCATGATGACTGGAGGCTGGAGCCTCGACTAGGGCAGAAAGTGACGGTTGAATAGACCGCTACGATGTCCACCACGGAAATCGTGAGCTGGACCCTCGCAAAGTGTCATCCATGGCGCAATGATGTCAATTCCATTGATGGTATAAGAGAGGGCCTCCAGAGTTGCCGCAGAATAGAATGAATTGATGGGTAAACGCCGACTATCGAGTTCATTTTGATATGCTTTGGGATGCATCGAGCATCGAAGAAGTCCTGCCGAACATCCGACCAAGACAAGAACAAGGCTCGTGGTGACTGCACGCGAAAGCCATGAATGTTCCTAACGTGATATGGAAAGGGCAGAAAGAATGCGTTTATCTCATTCAGTGTTACAAGACAGGGTTTGCGAAGAGATAAGGAGGCAAAAATGGGTCGCCGCAGATATTTTGGGATCCATTGAGAAGTCATCAAGCGATGCCGAGTAGCAAGGGGACTGGGGCCCCAAAACTCATGCTTGCCCAAAACTCATGCTTGCCGCACCCGAGGAGAACGATGATCGTTGAAGCGAGACGAATGAGACGAATACGCTATTTAACGGAATGAGGAGGAAAAGGTCGCATTGCTGGGTGACCTGCAGGCTCTCCTTGAGAGAAAAGGGTGAATTGATGCCGTCTGGGCACTTTTCAACTTCTCGAAACGCACAAGAGACCTTCCATCATGCCGCGCCCTCACCAAACGCATCGGATCCTCAAAGCAAAGGGGAATTTCCTTTGCAGAGAAGCCAGGCTTGATGTTCTTAGTGTCTGTCGAACGGCCAGTGATGTGCAGCAAATTATCAGCGCGTGACCATATCTTGCTCGAAAATCCTCAATAATGAGAAAAATACTGGTGGCGATGTTGTTGATCAATAGTAAGAGTGTTTATACCGAGCGTTTGTTTGATCATCTTCCACGTTCGATCAGGGCTTTAAAGAAATTGTTCTAAATGCTGTTGGTTGATGAATACTCACGTGTAGTTCAAATGTTCCAGATTAATCATACGGATCGAAGAGGGAGGGCTTTGAATATGTGATGACGTCCTCTTTACGACTTGAACTGGTCTTGAAATGGAATTCTGTGAAGCATGCTCCCACATCACGTCAGAATCATCTGGTTTTCTCGCCATTTCTACTCATCTTCTGCGCAGATCGACCAGGAGATGATATAATTTGTGCATAGGTGCCAAATTGGGAGGGAAGACAGTCTAATGGCGCTGTTTCTTGTGCGCGACCTGGTCTTGAATCGGTCTTCGGTGAGATGCACCCGTCCATGCTGGCATCGCCTGGTCTTTGCAACATCTCGAAAGATCTTAAGCATGGAATTCTTAGAACCTCAATTCTCTCTCACCAGGTTATCGATGACAGTAAACCATGATCGGTCCGTGTTCTGTTGGCGGCCATTGATCTGCGGCTCGGAGTTGTGATCCTCGTCACCCAGCAGTCCCGTATTCCGGCAATCTTCCAACCGCCTTCTGTGGGTTTTCTGCGTGTCGCCGTGCCCAAATGACATACTTTTAGATAAAAAAGCTGCCTTTATTCGTCTTAGTTAGGTTGCCGAGTATATAAGCACCGCATTTTGCTTCAGAGGCATTTGGTGTGATCCAGCCCCAGAGAGCCAGGACCGTCATCATTTGGTCTTCCTTTGGTCTCATTTCTATGTTCCAGTTGAATGGAGTAGAAGAAACACCTCATCTGTGAATATCGAACGCAAACAACATGTTTAGCCATTGCTTTCGCCGTCGTGATGACTTGCCGGTCCCAAAGGGGCACTAGTTTAAGACTGTAGCAACTGCAGTGGTCGAAGGCACAACGCCCTCCGCGGCTAGCTAGCCCCAGACCTAAGAATGGGGCCTGAAGCCCTAGAGCTGCAGCAAGGTTGGCCGTGGGGGAGTCCGAACGTGAAGTCAAAGTGCGGGAGCTGTGGCGGTGCATCCAGGATCTGAATATTGTCGTCCTCTTCTGCAACATATGCCTCAGATGCGGCTGATGGCTCGCCGGGCTCAAGGTGAATCTCGGGTAGAGAGTTATGCTCAAGTCCGTAATGGAAATTGGTTAGAATATTGACACATCTGGTGTCGACACATGGCGAGCTGATGGACCAGCCGGAGAGAGGGACTGACCCGCAGTAGTCCGGAATGACTGCTCGGCTTCGGGGGCGGCGGAACTGCTGGCCTTGATCTTCAACACCCTGGCTCTGCCTTTGCCCTTCTCAACCTGTGACTTGGGGACCTTGGCATCGTCGGGGCCGGACTCGGAAGATGGGAGACGCTGCCAAGGGTGGACACCTCGTTCTTCTGGCGAAGCTCTATTCTGAGTAGTTAGCATCGCTTGACAAAAGCTTGAAGCATAGATGCTATTGATAGCGAGGTCAAGCCGCGATAAACTGGAGCATATAAGACATACTAGTGGCGGTGTTGGTGATATCCTTGACTTGAAGCACCGGCGGCTCGACATGGTTATTGTGGCGGGATGCCATGGTAGTGTATACCGCGGGGAGAATGGCTGGGACGTCAAAGGTCGCCAGAGTGATCGAATCGAACAGGGACGCCCGCGACTTCACGCTCGCGAAAGGTGGAATGATTTCTGGTCCCGGCTGGACGACCATCTCGACAGCGGATAATCCCAAATGACTGCGAGTGTTTTTGAACCTCTTCTTCGTCTCTGACCCAGCCACAGACACGACAGCTCTTCAGCGTAAACGGCGCTCACAACAATCGATTGATGGGAGCCAAACGCCTTCTTCACAAAGGCAAGCCACTCATCCTTTTCCAAATTGGGAAGAGCATCACCCCTTTCCTGTCATCACATCCGGCGAAGCTGCTTCCAATTGTCGCTGAAACCAGCAGTACGAATACAGTCTTGGTGATGGAGGCAACGAGGGCTGTGATGTAAAGGACGAAGGGAGAATTAGAAGAAATAGAAGGGCGGGCGACGGAGTCCTAACCGGGCTGGAACATATTTGAGACGACAGAAGATGAACTTGGCGATATCGAAGGATTCTCGAAGAGAATTAGGTGGCACCTAAAGCACAAGAAAATAGTACGTATGTGAGGCGCAGATGCGGCGAAACGGACGGAATTCCAAGTTCACGAGAGCGGAATGTTTTTGATGTTCAACCATCTCCTGTCTCTCTTCATTATTTCCATACTTCCCACAAATGCTTCCTCGTCTCTTGTGGCTACAGTCTGTCTACCGTATCTGATTGCCTCTCGGCGTGGACGAGCATGTCTTGCATGGTTCCGTACAGCTCAATCTGGATCCTATACCAATTCATCCCTCCCAAGATTTTGGCCTCAAACGTGGTTTTCAGGTTATGTTAAATGTGTACTCGTTGGATATGGCGAGATGATATTGATGGCCAGATTATAAGGGTGGCTGCATTGTATTGCGCGGCGTATTGCATTTGGTGGTTTTCAGGTTGGCCAAATAACTGGATTGCGACTTTCAGACTTACCAGAAAGCATTCAATTAATCCAATGTCACACGAAAAGTTCCTATCAGTTTCATGTAGTTTACAGAACCTCAGTTCTGCAATCCCGAAGCCTAGTATCGCCTTCAAAATCCGGGTGGGATTTACTACCTGCGCGACCCAACATCTCAATCTTGGACCAAAAGAGGCTTTCTAGAACTAAAACGATGCCTTCACTCGGTCGAACGCCCTTGGGTCAAGTCAAGCGATTTGCTGCAGCCACGACGGCTTCCCCCGGTGGGTTCGCTCCGATGCGACGCCTCCTTGGCCACCCCCCCTGCCGCGAACCTCAGAACTATGCATGAAAACCGTCCGAGAATTCCCGAGCACGAATACCTAACCCGTCAGAATGTTGTTCCGGCAGGCCAATCTATTTCTGAGAATAGCTTCCGTCAGATGATTTCGGTGCGCAGTTAGATTGCTCAAAATAGCAAGCCATGCCGACGCTTTATGGAGAGCGCGAGAAAGTCGCGCGTGATCCATCGGCGCCGAGAATATCCGGGGCTCGAACACGTATTTGCCAGGGCGAGTTGCGCATCATTGGGATAACGACTACTGAGTCCAGAGTGGTTGTTACCAGTCTTCAATAACTCCCGACCCGCGGCGGGCGCTACTATGGATCGCATAAGGCGAAGTTCTGGAGCAAACACGTTGTTCGGGGGCGCAAAGCTTTTGGCCAGGAGTTCACGATGGTTGAACTCAGACGTTGAGGTCTCTTGAAAGGCAGCCAGCGCGAATGTGAATCGGGCAAGATCCAATTCTGGAAGCAAACGCCTTGTCCGAGGTGAGCAAAGTGCCAAAGTTTCTTGGGTAAGCTATCTCGTCTGTCAAGGATTCGCACCTAGAGGTGTTGCACACACGTTTCTTATTCATAGTTTGGACTTCAAGAGCTAAGAATCAACCACACATGCCCACAAAAGCTTCTCGAACCGGGCGCAGGTGCGATGAAACTTGATGGTCCATGGACAATGGAGGACCCGTACCAGCCTGATGACCCAACCCTTGCTCCACGTTAGTGGCTCCTTGAATGTTTGTGGCTCCTCCACCAAACGGAGATCCGCCCAACGATATAGAGCAGCTCTTGAGGCGATATCAGTCTATCTTCGGAGAGTTGGTCATGCCTCTTGCATGATGAAACCTTCGAGAACTGCGGGAACAACATCCCTGCACCGGCGAGTACTGAATAGTCGAGAACTGCGGGAACAACATCCCTGCACCGGCGAGTACTGAATAGTCGGAGAGATCCGACGTGTGGCGTGGAGACGACAAAGCCTGCAGGAAACAGATTTCCAGGAGAACATGCCAACAAAGACAATCGGAACGCAGCAAAAGGAATCGCTTAGACAAACGCAGCGCGGGCATTCGGGCAAAAAGCCGGCATAGACATCACCAGAGCGGCATGTCGCGAAAGGTTGAGGCTCGTGGCTGGTTGCTGATCACTGTCGAGTGTGGTCGTTTTATGCTTTCCCGTTTCAATTATTCATCAGCCGTAAAGATTTAGGCCCGGGGAATACTTCAAGATCGGACTGTTGCTTGTGGCCAGACCCAGACTGACTACCCGTCAGCCGGCAGCGCTCCTATCACCATCAAACCAAGCGCTGCATATTTCTTCTATTTCTTTTTCCCAATTCAGAGCTTACCACAGTCACAAGATACACTTTGAAAATATTCTGCGGGAGTTTAAGATACATTGGTACCTACAGATGACGTGAGATTGAGTGACGTGGATTCCGGCAGGCGCGGTGCTGAGTTCGATCCGGACGTCCGGGCGTGTGGGTTCGTAACCCGGGCGGGATGTTTACTTGACTAAACGATTGATTTACAATTTGAATCTGATATCCGAACAGCCGTTCCGTTTGAAGATTGGGCCGAGCCGCTTGAATCTGAGCAGGGAGTTCCGAAATGTGCCTGTCACACACCTCCGCCCCCAAATGGGGGCGATTGGTCCCACCACTGGCACATGCAATGCTATTCAAGTGAGGCTTACGATAAGATTCGTGCTCTATATTTACTGTTTGACCTCTTTGCATTGGGCATCTGAATACCGGCCGACAAGGGCGACGCGACCGGGAATGTGGGGCGCCGGGATGCACCGCCGGCCGAAGTGGGTCCACCGATGTCCGAAATCCCGGAATTCGGGGATCGTGTGACGTTTGCATACAAAGTTGACGAGCAAGATGTGTCGGTCGTTGCTCTATGTCTGGCCGTATTCGCGGTCGTTGACAGAGCTCTCTCAGCGCATAGAGATAGAGGGATAGGTCAACATAGACAATTAAACGTTAAATATAAATACTGGAAATGTAAGAGAATGAGACAAAAATGCTATTGCACTTCCCTATTCCTTAGTTAACAAGGTTCAGTTTGGTCCAGCGGCATGGCCTGCACGCGTGGGACTACGGCCGATGCTCCGGATAATACATTCTGTTCATTTTGAGACGCCCATACATCCGGTGCGATGTCAATTGTTGTCGTGACATCAAGTTTGCACTTGGTTTGATTCGTCTTCAAGTTTTTGAGGGGTCTCTTCATGGCCTTTTCCGACAGCATCCTGCGAGTCTGCTTGGTTCTGGGTTAATGTCATCTGGGCAAGTGAATTTTGTTTACTGGAAGAGGTCCCGCCCCTGGTCGTGAGGGAAATTTGGCTTCCGGTGCGTGCCTCCCGAGGTCGCGGGCATTCGAGCCATGGCTGACCAATTGGAGAATTTCTTTCCGTCCCCATGAGATTCCCTTCTTATGCTTTACTCACATGACTGCGCCGGTGCCACTCTAAGATCCTTCATGCGATTGGCAGAACTCTGCAGATTTAGGTTGGTTTGGATCGGATGAATAAAACCAACAATTCACCATGATTTTCTGCAACTCGACCGACATGATATGCTTTACAACCTTGCTGTTCATGTCTGTCCCAAAGCCCAAGAAGCCGCATGTGAGCTAAAGTTTGCCTCGCTGCAAGTGTCCCGGCTTCCGGACGTGTCACATGATGGGAGCTGCCCAATACCTAGTCCATCGATCTTTGATTCTGCCAGGAATTCGCCCAGATATGTTTCTCCACGTCAATAAGCAACAACTGCAGGACTGATATCTACCGGAACGAGGAACGAGTCAAAGTCGGCTACTAATCACAACATGGTATATACCGAAATGAAACATATTGGAAGGCATGTCTTGCGGATCGAGACGGCAGACGTCCAACGCAAAACCTTTATTCAGTTTTCGTGGTTCCAGACTCCAAGCTACCTAGACCGCGCCGGAATCTAACGAAATGAACCCTTAACGTACCTACCTAACAGCGGTTCTGGATATTGCCCGTAGTATATCGGGCACGTCAGGTATGTACCGGCTGATGGCTGATGCAGAGTGCGATATTTTTGCTTCTGTATCACTAAGCCGCCAGAGATACATCACCCATTACCCAGGCTGCAGCTGCCCACCCGTCTAGCCGGCCCCGTAGCGCCGGCCCACCGTTGTCGCGTTCCGCCCAGTCGATCCACTTCACCCTCCCAGGTCCGAGTTCTGAAAGGCCTCGCGGAAGTCGCAATAATACAACAGAAGTAGTACAGCATCGTGAAGCGGCTCAAAAGAAAAGAACATACGCCAGTTGAACTAGTGGAAGAAAAGATTGCGTGTGAGGATCGCGCGTCCTGGAAAAGAAGAACGGTATCATGCAACACTTCAAAGAAATACTGGCTATCAGAAGCTTATACAATGGGTTATGGTAGTAGCAGTCTGGCGAGGAGGCAAGCTGGTGAATTCAGAAAATATAATACGCAAGTCCGTAAATCACAGCCGCCACCTACCTCCTACCTACTCCTCCAAAAGCCTACAACGATACTCCGTCCCTCCATGAAATCTCCCCACAGAATACCGTCTACACTAACTCGGCAATCATAATTCTGCGACTTCGCATCGGCTCTATTGTTTATGGATACGTGTCAGTTTCGCCTTATTTGCGCTGGCCACTTCTTCAGACATTACCATAATCACGAAACTGCCCCAAAGACATCATCTTACCTCTCCTTTTCGATCAAGTCTAGCTCGTTATGTTTTGATTTTCTCTCTATTCTGCCCTTTATGTCTCCAAGTTCGCACGATTGCCAGCCCTATGACACTGGTGCGATAGCCGGTTGGTAACCTTGACCTCACCCTGGCGCGACGTA